CATTTTCATCTTAACAACCACCAGGTAGTGAACTGAAGCTATGTTATTACATCTCTTTAATCTCATGCCCTCTGTTGACCTGCTGAATATTTTGGCGACCCAACTATGACTAATCTTTTCTCCTTAGAGTGATCCTTTGAAGATCGTGTAGACGTCTGCATGTGTTTGTGATGAAATATGGTTCAATCTATAACCACTTTGTTGAATACACATGTCCGCTTCTCCATTCGTTCTTACTTTCCCTGTGAAACTTCTAAGTGTTTTATGGACGTAAATGGGGTCGATCTGGTTCTCCAAAGTATCTAGCGAAATCCATATAGCTCGTGTATGAGTTTGTGGGTGAAAATCGTTCAACCTATAAATATTATGTCGCCCCCCTTTTCTACCCTACATCCTCACATGACATGAGCACAAGCGGTGTTATCACTCATCAGGGTGGTCATTTCCTTTCGTGTGGATTTTTATGTGATGGACTACAGAATTCTTATTAGATTATTCTTTATCGTCCCTGATGTCAACATTGATGGACGCTTAACAGTGAATGTTATTCACCATAAGCCCTTTAATATTTTTATTGAAGTGTAGTCTGATAGTCCCGAACCCATTAAACCGTAATCTTAATAACTCCATTCGTGCTTCTTCGGACGTTGACAGTGCAACTCCTCTAGATAAAAAAACCTGCTCCGAAAAAAATGAAATACAATACAAGCGACGATTAATTGCCGGAATTTGTCGCCGCACTAGACTTCTTTACCTTTGTCTGTTACCCCACGTAGAGTAGCATAAGCTGTCCACCAGCATTCTCCATCCAACTGTCCTGAGCCATCCTCTCCGGTTTTTTCCAGTTGCCATTCATCTTTCTCATATCTACTCCCAATTTCCGATATAATGTGTTCTTCGGTTTTCTTCTTTTTTGTTTACCTTCAGGATTCCAAGTTAACAAATGCCTCGTGATACAGTTTGATGATTTCCGCAATGTATGTCCTATCCAATTCCACCGAAGTTTCTTAATTTCCTTTTCAGTTGGAAGCTCTTTCACAGTAGTCTCTCGCTGATTTTATCCGGCCAAATGATAGTGAGTATCTAGCTTAGACAATTGTATTTAAATACTTGTACCTTTTTGGTTGCAATAGTTTTGCACGTTTCAGCTCTGTACAATAGAACTGTTTTGAGATTCGTATTAAAGATTGGACTTTGATATTGGTTGAAAGTTGTTTTGAGTTCCATGAGTTCTTCAATTGTAGGAATGCGGATATTGCTTTGCCAATCCTTGCACATACGTCCTCATCGGACCATCCACATTCATCGATGATGCCGTCCAGACACGTGAAATTTTTCACATCTTCCACAGCTTCTCCATCAAGAGTGATTGCACTGAATTTCGTTGTTGTATTCCAGGATTGTGCTTTTCCCCGTGCATTTTAAGGCATAATGATGCAGATGCTGCTTCGAAACTGGCTTTTTTCGCCTGCAATTGTCTGGCGACTGTCTAGAGAAAAATGCCAAAGGTTTGTAGGAGTGCTTAACCCATTGTTGTAAGACACCTCCGATTGCTGATTCGGATGCGTCTACTGCGATACAAATGGGTGCTTCAGTGTCCTGATGTGCAAGCATTGTTGCTTTAGCGATAAGTTCCTTAACTGTGGAGGATGCTTCCCGCGTGGTGTCGTCCGGATTGATGGATTTCGCACTACCACGAAGTTGGTCAGTTAGCGGTTTCATAAGTGACGCGCAGTTCGGTATGAATCGTCCATAGAAAATCACCAAGCTGTTAAATATGCGTAATTGCTCGATGGTGTTCGGTTCTAAGTAATCCGGAATGGCTGCCGCTTTATTTCTTACGGGTCGGATGCCGTGTGCATCTTTAGTGTCTCCTAGGGAGTCTAAGGAATCAGTTCTGATTTAGCATTCCTGAGTGTTTACAGTAATGCCTTCTTAGGGACCATGTGCGACGGAGATACCCAAAGGCTGTTTGACAGTCGTATGATACCTAACTCTATCATTAATAGAATTTGTTTTTAGCTAACTTCAGCCAGTCGGCGCGCTTTCGAGAATACAGGTGGTCCCGTAGTCGTGATGTGACGTGTAACGTTGCTGGTTACACACGATAATTTCGGTTGCGGTTGGTATATCCGAGAATACTTATCTAGTATAGGTTGATAGAATGGGTCTATCGTGTGCCTAACTTTGACAGGAGATAGTCTGCAACCGGAAAAAGAAGTTACGCGAGCAGATAGTTTAGCGTAAACCCACTTCAAGGGAAACGTACCTTTTGCCACATGTAGCGATAGGCTTTCCGTTTGTCGATGAGGTAGCGAACTCTCGTTATCACATCTGTGATGTGCAACAGATGGCTATGTTCACCTGCTACGGTTGCCGTTGATGCGTGCCGGCTTGGGAGTTTCCCGAATTGTTTTTTGTTATATTTCGATGAGAATAATGAATGGTAATTTTCGGGATCCATTTATGGACCAATACTACGAGTATATTTTTATCGTATGACTGTCATGTAACTAAGCTGTTCATATTCATTTTCCTTTCATTATGAGTTTTATTTTGACCTATGAACTATTATTATACGATTTACCGTTCTTAAGTTATGGCCTGTCTATTAATTACTCTCTCCCTCATTCACAGCCACTTTTGGCCAAATATTGTACAAATGCAATTTTTTATTTTATGGTACGTTGTGGTCTGTTTGATTGGTATATAAACCCCGTATGTTTGAAATAAATGATTCATATTGCAGAGGCTGAGATTTGTGTTCTGGACTCAACTGGTTGGGCTAGACAGGGAAGCAGGACCAATCACGACTCTAGGTTGCTCGCACATGTTTATGCGTCACTGGTTCAATCGATGATTCGCTGCTCTCTGATTGGCGGTATCGTTGCGCTATCCAATATACAGGGCACACAGATTCACAATTCATAACATTTTTCGTGTCGGTTGGTTTTGAGTTTGAAAATCTGCAGGGTTTTCTGCAATTTCTGGAGGACTTTCGATACCAGCACCAGTCAGGGTTATCAGTCTCCCGTGGTCTAGAGACAAATCGCCTGCGTGAAGAGCTTCTTCACAGTGTGTTGACCGTTTACGGTTATTACGAAATTGCAAATAACGTGTAAGTGTGCGACATAACTCTGTTATGTCATTCTGGGTCGTTTGAGGTTTTTCTTTAACTGAAAGAACTTTGGTATTAAAGAATTTCGTGATTTCAAGGATGTGGTCAGCTCGTTTACGGAGTTGTTTTGAAAGGAGACCAGCAGAGCTTGTACCTGTTGAGGAAGTCTAGATATGGAACGTTGTCTGAATGATCCATCATCGAAGGTTTTTGGCCGATAACCTCTCTCATTCGTTGCAACATGTCTGTTGCAGAACCATGTTGCAGGCCGATGTTATTAAGGAGTTAGTCTAACCGTTGTCGATTGGTTAGATCTCCGCGTTTAAGGATAGATCGTTCCAGTTTTTCACATGGTTCCGAACTATCACTAGTAAACATGCTAGATGTTATGTACCTGTTGAATTAGTGAGGTAGTGCCCTGTCTACTGCGAGGAATTGTGCACGTGTGTCGATCACGCCGTGCTCGTAGAAGTCAGCTTCCGCGTAGCAGAACCAGGCTTCGATGTTGTCTGGCCAGAAGGGCATTAGCTGAAACGAAGGTGGTGATATAGTCTCTAACTTAAGTACCTTAGGTGTCTGTTCAGCCATGATGAGACATCAAGTACGAGAATGAACGAGTGAAGAAATATATATCCAAAACACGGTGAAATACCACTATATATAAAAAATTAAAATAAGGCAATGATATATAAAATCCCAATTTGATGTACCAGATCACGTTAGGCTCATCAACGAAGATGCCACGGGTATTTGTAATTTGGCAACGCTTTAACCAGTAACACGTTCTAATATGAATCGTACCCTCCAAGCGAAATCAAAAGACAGAAACGAGGAGGTTTCAAGATATATTCGATAGTCTATCAATATATCGTGGATCGACTGATCTAATCTGGGTAGCGATTGTAGAGGGTGTTGAGCACGGCGTTCCCACTCTTGATCTGGTACGGATACATGACCGAGCGCCTTCAGCTAGGTGAGTGCATCAAAACCAATGTGGTCAGCATTCAATGTCGAAAACTTACAGAGCTATTTATTTTGGGGATTTATTTACCGCTTGAGTTTGTATGGAACACAAGGTTCGAATTATTTCCAAAGTTCAAATCGTCTAGTTGCATGCAAGCTGTCCATTGTATTCCGTGCTTCCCTTCAGATGTGTCGGTTTTCATAGTCCGGTCAACCGTCAGGTGAGAGGGAGTGGAAATAAATACACTGTACACGTACTCTGCAGTGCTAACGAAGGTTTCATAAGGTTCTCCAATTCACACTGTCAAATGTTTTTCATAGTCATAAAAGTTGGTGTATAGTGACAGGTTCCTTTCAATTGATAGTCCAACAGTGATCCGTATTATCGCAATTCAGTCTGTGCACGACCAATCCTTACGTAATCTAGCCTGTTGATCTCGAAGTTCAGTGTCTACCGAATCTTTCATCTGGCTCAAATACATTCTGTTGAAAACCTTTCCTGATACTCATAGTAGTGTGATTTCTTTGTAGTTTTCACATTTGCTCAAATCTCTTTTCTTGGGTATCCTGATGAGGTGTTTTTCCTTTTTAGTCTGTCGACAATTGTTCTTCCTCCCAAGCCTTCCTGAATAGAATGTGGGGCATGTTTACAGTTGCTTCCACGTGTGACCTCAGTGATTAAGCTCATATGTTGTCGCATCTTGATGCTTTCTCACTCTTGATGTGTCTGATGGTCAACCTGATTTCTTCCGTCGTTGGTGGAGTGTTACTTCGATGTTCAGTGTGGATGGTCTATTCAAGAGTTCCTTAAAGTTTTCTACTCATCTGTTCCTCTGTTCTTGAATCTCAGTGATTGACTTACCTTCTTTGTTCTTGACTGTTATCTCTGGTTTACTACATTTTCCCTGCTAGATTCTTCCTTGTGTCATGTATTTGTCTTGCATTTCCGCTGTCGTTTTCACGTCTTCCACGTATTTCTGATTGTCAGCTCTAATGCTCCTTTTCTCTCTCTTGTTTACTTCTATATATTCGGTCCTTGCTCTAAATTATTATTCGAAGGTTAGGAAAAGTGGTGCAAATGTCCTTCTTAGTGCAGATCGAATGCTACCGACCAAGTTGCAATATGACCATCAGTCTTGGGACACGACACTGCGTGCATTATGTTGAGATAAGATGGTGGCTGGAGGTAGTCAACAGGAAACCCTGAACTCGGGTTTCGTGCCACTTGTCACACTCGTCAGCAAGGTGTATCTGTAATCTTGAGGGAACTGGTTCTCCCAGCTTCACAGATCTGTGTAAACTGAACTTTACACTATTGAATATCAATGAATCAGTATATTTACTGTGTGAAAAGATTTACAATACAATACAATACAATTAAGTACTTATAACTGATAAATATACCTAATCAACTAAGTTAATCTTCAAGATACGGTTCAATGTCAGATATATATCATTTTAAGAAATTAATTATGTACATTGTTCTCATTGTACTTGATCAAATCATTACTCGTTATGTGACATTGTTTTGTGAAATTTCACTGATAATATTAAGTTTCTCATATAATCGACTTATTAATGCAATTAGAATACATTTAATCAACTTGATTTGTATTAAATTCATTGGAGATATTTCATTGAATTTATCTGTTATAGATATAATACTATTTATATTGAAAATATAAAGTAAATCTTTATAATCTATATTCATTAATGTATCAATTAAATATGGATATTGTTCAGTGAACCAATCTATAATAAATAATGATCGAATAATTGTGGATATAGATTCTTCTTTTTGTTCCATATTACTACTACTACTAGTAGTGGTAGTAGTAGTAGTATGAGTATTAGTGCTAGCACTAGTAGTATTAGTAGTAGTATTATGAGTAGTAGTGTTAGCATTAGTAGTATGTGTAGTATGAGTATTAGTGTTAGCATTAGTAGTATGAGTAGTATGAGTAGTACTGGTTAGTTTTTTTGAATTCATAATATTAAATGTTGTAAATGCATGAGCTAATAGACAATTTAATAAATAGATTATTGATTTATTTGATTTCATGATAATCATATTATGAATGATTAGTTTAATCCAATCATCTTGATGAACAATTCCATTGAGATTGTTTGTTCTATTCAATATGATTGATAAATGTGATGTATTTAATATAAGTTCAGAAAAGAAACAATTAATTTGATCATTGAATTGATGTATGAAAATACCAATTTCAGGATGATCATTGAAAATACTTCTGATTGTTGATACTGTGATTGCATATGGATCTTTTTCTGAAATATCTTGTAACCATTGATCAACATGAACATATTCTTTACTCATTATATCCTATATATAAATGGATAATTGATTCATATGAACAAATAGAAAAATATAATAAAAACTCATATTATTTATGAATTCAATGAAGGAAACTAACTTCACGACAAAATAATATCTGATGATAGTTAACTTCATTAAGTGACTTTAATTAGACAACTATTGTGAAGTAGGAACAACAACAATGTCGACCTACTGATATGCTTGAATACTATTACGAGTTCATTATACTCGATAAACGGAACGAAAGTCAAAGATACAGTGACATGATAAGCTATTCTAATCCGTTGTCCCCGGCCCTGCTAACTAGATCAAGAAGTCTTGATGAGGCACCCAGAAAATACGAGGTCACTAAGCACACAAATCAAGCTTATTTATACAATGATAGGAACGTCATTGGAAGAACCACAAAACAGAGTATTAAAAAAATCCGTCGACCAATGACAGTCAAGAATTTCCGAGTAGGTAATGTAAGCTATAGGTCACTTCAGCATCTCTTGGCGCGAAAAGATAAAATTCAAATTTTCAGAATAAAATTACGAAATTAGAACGTTTCCAAGTGAGTTCTGGGAATCTAACGTCTTCAATACTTACAAACCCATAATGGTTTATACCTGAAATCTCTATATATTTCAGCAACCATATAATGTGTAAACAACTGAGTTACCATCCAATGGTTCATCGTTTTGATTTCTATCAGTTTCCTGTACTGAGGGTTTATCATTTATTTCTACCAGTGATTTTTATTGCGTACCTACCAGAAGCGAACATACTTCATTAAAACCGACTTAATAATGAAATAATATCTGTAAGGTATTAACTAAACGTAAAAATGGGTCACAGATAAAGATTTACTTTTACTGAAGTACACTCACAAGGATATGAACTAATACAGAAATAGTTTGCCCTTGACCTGATGCATAAAATAAGTTTAAATCAGGTGACAATAAATTGTTAATGCTTTAGATTAAAACAATATCCATCGTCATAGTGTTGATTATAATTGTGAATAATCCAAAATATTTATTATAAATATTGTTTGAGATTTGATCTTTAGTTGTTTTAGTAATTATCTCAGTGAGACTATAATTTTATGGGGGATCTTTGAATGAGGCTAAAGTGACGTTGAATGTGTCCACTTCATAACTAGGACCAAATAAGGATTATAAACCAGTGTGTGAGGAATCAGAATTATGATTTACAGTTGATAGTTAGGATTAGGAATTAGATTTAGGGTTTTCATCATGAACTGAAATAAGCTATAATGCCAAGATTCTATTTAGTCATATGGGTGAATGAATTTCGCACCAAAATCCCAGACGTGTTATCTCAAATCTAATTGGTTCGTCCATAAAAACGATTGTCTTGCTCTTATCTCATCCATTTCATTTTTGTAAGATTAACAATTAGAATGATGTTAGTGATTATAATTGTGAGGTTATGTGAATTGTTTCCAATTTAGCTGATAAATTAAGAACATTTACTAAACCGTTTGGTGTAGTCTGGCTTGTATCTTCCCATTCAGGTTTAAGACTGCAATTGATCAGTCTGTTATTGGCATATGTGCATACTGTGTGTATATCTCGATATTGCCTTCATTGCTTACAAAAAGCTTGTGAATTAAGACAATCCCGTTGCACAAGCAAGCGACTATCAGGACTCAGTAGCTAAGTGGATAACGCGATGGCGTTTGAAGCGAATGGTACTGGGTTCGAGTCTCAGATGCAGGTATATCCAGCTGACGAGTCCCAAATAGGACGAGGTGGCGCGCGTCCTGGATTCCACTGCTAGCCACTATCCATCATTTACTAAACCATTTAATCAACTAGATGATTAGATCCGTGACATTCAAATTTTACAATATTAAGCAATCACTGTATTCATTAAGCTACTCAAATGGAATTTAAAAAAACAAAAAAGAAAACAGGAAATATACAGAAAACACTACTTTTCTAATTTAAACTTGAAAACAGAAATGCATCTTTTAAAGAATTCATCGAGAGTTTACATATATCAACACAGGTTAACCATCTATTCTATGTATGGATTAGACTTATTGTAATATGAAAGATACTTGTTAGTTTCAATGACTCTTTCGTTTTTTTTCAATAATGACTAACTATGAAGTGTTATTACATCTAGACTAGTCATTTTAAAATATGTCAGGCTTTGTTTAACTAACTTGTTACAAAACTATTGAAATGCAACGAGATTACCTGGTACTACAATTTCTACGTTTATCCTAGTACCTTTGAATACAATAGCAAAATGCCTTTTTATAAAGAACTCTGGTTTTCTTGTCAAGTGATAATTCTTTTGTACATTATTTCATTCGTTATTTGAATTACAAGATTCAATAACTTTCATTGTGTTTACGAATTTCTCTCCAACTTGATATCTAATCGATTTGTGACTATTAGAATACGAGTTGGACAGTTCGGTGAATGACTATTTAATATGGCAAATTCGACTATATCCAATTATCATAAGGATATACTCGTAGTGTATGGCGAATATTTCTTACTTTTCTTATCAAGTTAAATTTTTTATATTATGTATTGTAATTAGTTATCATAATACAGTGCAATTCCATTCTGTCTACTTCAAATTCGAATTCTTATTTGTGTCTTATTGAAGTCTTAGCTCAGTTGGGATTAATAATAATTCATCATATTTCAATACTTTATAATGCTGTGGAATTGAGAGTAAATTGAACATATGAAGTTTTAATGATGTCTTAAATACGACATCATAGTACATTTCATCAGTCTATTAACATACAACTCCGCCTGGAGTCCCTCTGGGGACTACTGCCGGTCCCAAGCCCGGATAAAGGAGGAGGGTTGGGCATGGGGTTATCGAACCCATCCCGTAAAAAACTAACTCGCTAAAAAAACGCTAACCAAAAAAAACTATTGAACATAGAATTATAAGAGAACTATTAACATCTATCCACTAACCTATCATATATGATGGTTGTCTTATTAAGATTATTCTACATAAATATAATTGGCTATACTTTAACATTAGAAAGTAATCAAGTATATAATCGAAAAGTTACGTCAGTTTCGGCAAACAATATGATGAACGTGCACGAAAAGTTTGAAAGCAGTTGAAATAATCACTGAATAATGTATTTGTTAACTTGTTCTGCTAATCAATGGAACTAATTAATATGAACCCGGTTATCATAGTGATACAGTAGGTCAAATAGACGTTGACTAAATAATATGAGTGTTCAACTGGCTAAAATTTGGTTTCCTTTCTTAGGGAGTGGGATACATATCTCTGATGAAAAAACGTGGCTTAAACTTCCGAAGGAAATATACGTGTGGTGTGAGTTACTTAAACCCACATAAGTAGTAATCAGACATAGAATGTATTTCAGTAGAAGATCGAGAAGGAAAGAACGGGATGAAAAGAATGGCTTGAAAATACAGGAACAATGAAATCTGAGACAATAGACTGATATTTTCTCTCTAATTTCGTGTCAAATACATTCGATTGTCCTCACTTGTGTTCTTGTTCACTACATACGTATATTCTTTAGTGTACATTTTAGTTCTCTATTCACTCTGTCCTCCCACTCAGGTAATCATTCGGGCTAATGGACAGAAAACTGGTTTATCAGTATCAGAATTAGACAATGCCTAACACAAAACTTGATGTTCATCATTTAGATTCAAAGGCAAAATCTATTGCCAGATTTGATGACTAGCTATAAACATTCTATCTTTATCCGTAATGCACTAATTCATTGTAGAGAATACTTTAATACATGAATATTGCCTAACCTAACGAATTATCTGTCATAATAGGTAGCTTATCCACAGAAACTTCTGACAATTTGACAATTAATGAATCAAACAAAATGAATTTATTTCATATTCATAATGAATAACTTACTAATCTTTCCATTTCATATCTTTGAATCCATGTCTCCAATTCAATTTGAAAACAATTAGGCTGTTGAGTACTTTCCTTATATAATACATCTAAAGAGAAGTCATCAATTACACATGGTAACTGTACTAAGTGTTTAATGAGATGTGAAATAACTTTTTCCAATTTTTTTCTCATAACTTTCTCATTCACAGTTATTGTGATTTTATCTTTATTCAGTAGACTAAGATTTCTATTCGATTGTGTAAATATTGGCAAAATGTATGATAGTAATAAATTGATTATTTTCATTAAATGAATGACCAGTTTCATGCGATCACTTGTTGTTTGCCTTGATTGAGTTCCTATGATGTGTTTATCACGATCTTCTAGTTCAACGCACATTTGTGTTTCTTTGTTTCCAAGATAAATTGGTTGCGCCGGCAATGTAAATGTTACCTAAAATGACAAGATATTTCTAAGTATCATTTTAATTGATCAATAGTTTGTAATAAACTCAATAGTAGTACCAGTATAGTGAAAAAGAACACATGAGAAGAAAACCAAAATGGATTGTTTTAGTAGAATATGAGAACCATACAGTAAATACTTCATTTGCAAATTATCCATCAATCGTCTCAGATTTCATTGTTTCTTCGTTTCTCTGTTGTCGTTCTCTTTGCCTTGATCTTTTTAATCTTCTGCCTCTAGATATTTCACTTTCTATTAATGATACATGCTACTTATCTCTGTCGACATCAGTAGTGCATCCCACAACAGGATTACTATTTCTTCGTAAAAGAAACATGATACAAATTAGAAAATATTTTACTAAATGAACAATGTTCTACAGTTACTGTCCAAATATTCTTCTTTGAACTTTCAGATCAAGTCCATTGATTCTTAGGTTGTGTTTACACTGGAGCATATAAAATAAAATAGTGACTATTGACCGATATGATTCAATATCCCTGTACATTTTATTTCATATAGACTGGTTGAAAGCAATTAGAAAGAGACCTTAGATCTTGATTTTCTTCTTCTTATTATTATTTGTTGGGGACGTTAGATCCCCAGAACTCATTTGGGAAAGGACCTAATTTTGTAATTTTATTTGGAAAATTAGAATTTATTTGTTTTCGCGCCATAAGCGCTCTTGTCGCCTTCGTGACGTATTTCCCACTGGGAAATATGTTAAATCCTATTGGTCCGTTGCGTCTTTTAGTATGCTATTCGGTAACTCTCTCCAAGGACGGTTTTGTACTCTATATATACGTTTTAAATTGCGTTTGTTGTTATCGCTCGTTTCTGGCTGTTTGCAGAATATACTTCTCCGTTCTAAGCTTGGAATTCTTCCTCTAGGACGCATCAAATAGCTAGCTTACTGGTCTTTGGTCACTGAGTCTTTGTTCTCGTTCATAGATTAATTGAACTCGTGATAACTTCAACCCTAGCATTATTAATGGCTTTATTCAATATTATAGTTTTGGTATAAGATAGAATTATCAACATTTCTTCATCATAACTACAATATTGAGAGAACTAATACTCCGTATAGTCAGTAGTTGGATGCATATCATTCACTGTCACAATGAATGACCATTTGAGTAAAAGGTACCATTGAATAATGCATCTTTTTGTTTTAGTACAAAATTCTCGTTGTCAATAAAATTCAATTGTAATTCAATATGATGAAGCTTAACGATGATCAAAAGGAAAATTTGATGATTTCTTTTAACTGGATGATATTTTATCCCTATGAAAGACAGATGATATACTTGAAAGAATTTAAGACATTCTAACCCCCCTAATAATCTTACTTGAGTTAAAAGAAGCTCCATAATTGTAATCAGTTGATTAGATAATCTTATAGAAACATCGAATGGATATTTATCTAAAATGATTGTTAAATTATGATCTAATTGATTTAATTGTTCATTTATAAGATGAATAATATTCAAGTTGATCTGTTTTTTATGTATAAATTCATTGATCATTTTAGTTTTATTAATCCAATGATCTAATTTATTTATATATATAGTGAATGTATCCATATGATTGTTCATTTGAGTATTACTTGTATCCATGGTAACATTTTTACAGAATGGTTTAAACATATTCATTAATTGTTGTAAATCTTCATTATCCGCTGTTGTTGAATAGATTATTGTATTCTTTCTAGTTGCCTTAGCAATTAATCCTTCAATATTATCTTCTTCTAAGGATGGTGAGGATGATGATGATGATGATGAAAGGAATTGTTTGATTGATGATGTTTGGACTAGTTGAAAATGTGGTAAATTCATTAAATTTGTAATCATATGCTTGAATTGTTTATTAGAATAATACCATCGATTTATTGATTTTTGTAAAATATCAAATCCAATAAAATTTGTATCGGTTAAATAGATGTGTAATTTTCGAATGACACTAATAACTGGATCATGATCATTTTCTCTAAAAAGAAGAAAAAAAACAAACATGAAACGATCAATATCAGTGTATAAATGATTATGAACCATCATTATATGATAAAAATCAGGTTACATAATGTTTAAATCCTAATGAGAATTAGGCATGGCAACTGGTTAATACTATCCACGTTTAAATGTGTTTTATACAAGTGATTATTTCAAATACAATTTTTATAACCATTATCAATTCATATCGAAGGATATATTGCCATATGATTAAAATATTTCAATCTTGAAAATTATAACTAGGTGTAATTCTATTAATTAATGATAAAAAGATATTAGGGATTAATATCAGAAAGGGTTTTGTGGATATTATAATAGTTTAATAGTTGAATTCATGGGTCAATTCGACCTAGACCACCATGGAAAACCTGGACACACTGGACGGCTGTTTCGTCCTATTGTGGGACTTCTCAGCAGTTCACATCCACGATCCCACCTCCCGCGAGATTCGAACCCAGGACGTATCAGTCTTGCACATGAGTGCTCATCCATTAGACCACTGAGACAACATCCATCAGTGTTAATGTATTATGGATTCACAAAGTTATTCATGAACATTATTAAACAAGGAATGAAATATTGATAATCATTACTGAAATAAAGAATATTGGGAAAGTAATACTCAACTTGAAAAAGAAAAACTGGTAACTTTTATTATCATGTAGACACCGGATTAAGTTTTCTTTTTATCCGTTATGTATAATTATTTTTAAATTATCCCGCTAAAAATAAATTCTCAACTGAATCACCGGATGTATAAAAGAGGATAATAATAGGAAACATTGAAAACTGTTCATTTGTCAACTGTTTCACATATGTATAATACCATAATTTTGTAATATATGATCTCAATAGTGAACACATTCTACATGAGAATTGTTATATCTTGACGAGAATTATTAATGGTCACTCATGTGAACTATTTATGAACCAATACGATAGATATATTCTTTTATTGTATAATTGCTATGTTATTAAACTATTCATATTCTTCTTCCTCTTATTATAAGCTTTATTTCAACCTATAGAATATTATTATTAGACGATTTACCGTTCTTGAGTTATGCCCAGTCTATTAATTACACTTCTGTCACGTTGACAGCCACTTTTGGTTTGATCTTGTACAAATATGTATTTTCTATTTTATGGTGTGATGTGGTCTGTTTTGTTTGTATATAAACCCAGTATGTTTGAAATACATGATTCATTCTCCGAAGACTGACATTGGTGTTCTGGACTATAACAGGGAGGGCTATGCAGAAAGAAGGACTGATAAAGACTCTATACTTCCTGTACGGGTTTATGAGTCATTGATCTGGTCGATAAGTCGCTGTTCTCTAATTCACGCTATCATTACATTGTATATATTGATAAGGCACAAACTCACAAGAAGTAACATATAAAATGTCAAATGTATCACAACTTTTTAATTTCTGGTCACATTTCACTTTAAAAATTCTATTTTCTATTGGATTCACTTATTCACAACTACATTTCCACCTTTACTGCATTAATACGTTTTACATTGGGTATTCCAAATAAAATTAAACTGTACCTCATATCGATTTAACACATGAGCAGATCATTAGTGTGTGCTGTTAAAGTGTCAGAAACGAAGATCGAGTTCTGTCTTGGAGTTCTTAATTAACAAATCAAATTCGATTACTTTAGACAATCAAACTTATTCCTATTCATTTCACTTCATTATGAAATTCATATAGAAAAGAAGGCTCAATACAGAGTGGGTTGGAGAATGCTGGTCGGCGGCGTATGTTTCATTAGGAGTAACAGGAGTAAGTAAGTAAGTAAGTAAATAAGTAAGTAATGAAATTTATAACAGTCAAATATTAAGAACACTTCAGAAGCATTGTACAATCCATTTTATTCTCTCAATATATATGGAGGCATAGATTAATTAACTTAAATACTTAAACTATTATGTAATCACATGGTTTATCATACTCTAAATTAAAAGGTAGGCAATAAATTATTTTCACAAGGGAATTTATGGATATTATAGTAATTTTAATAGTTGACATCATGAGTCAACTGATGCTAGACCACCATGAAAAGCCTACAAACACTGGACAGCCGTTTCGTCCGACTGTGGGATTCCTCAGCAGTGTGCATCCACGATCTCACCTCGTGAAATTCTAACGCAAGACCTATCAGTCTCGCGTGCGAGCACTTAACCTTTGGACCACTGAGTCGGCCGGTCAGTCAGTCAGTCAGTCAGCTACAACGTATGACCAGGCACATATGTGCATCGGTCCAGGTTGCCATACCTCATTAGCACAGCAAGATACAGTGGTCTTGGGTGCTGTTAGAGGTATGAGGGCGGTTATCACTTCCCGGTTGCCCACACCGTGGAAGGGTTCTTCTGGAGGTACCTGAAAGGGAAATTGGATTAAAGAAGGTCTTAGTGACGTGAGAGCGTGACCGCAGTGCCCAAGGGACAACTGCTTGAGGTTGGTCACACACGACCTTGTTATGGGTAATTTTTGTGTTAGCTCCGTACTTATTGAGACCTTACGCCGGAGACGGATATCCGTGGGATAAGGCGAGGTGTGCATTTTTAGGGTCGACCTTTTCTAACCCCACCCCTCCTTGTGGGAAGGCAGCATCTCTGTCATGCTGGTTGTCTGAAGGAAACACCTTGCTGCTGTTACACCTCTGTACAGTCAGCAGTACGACTTCGCCTTCGGACCTTGGGTTTGTTGCTTTTAGTCTTACCGCTCTTCAACCGACCTGTCTGACATGGTAGGACCTTGAGGAACGGTTGTTCCAGCCAGTATAGCTCGGTTGCTTCATCACGATAGGCAAGCCCGACCACCACGTCAAGGTAGCAACAACGGTCGGGCGATATCCAGCGGTGTTAATGTCTAACTTCAACTGATCCACGAAATTGAGCGACAAATCCACCATTGTCATCAGTGATTTAATATCTCACAACAGACCCGTTTGAACTCCACTAATCATTACCTCTCACTAGAACTCCAGAAAATACTTTTTGAAGACCGTCAAAAAACACATTATTTGAATATATGATTTACTAAATAACTTTCAAACTAAAAACACCTCTTTACATAACTTACGTAACTTTAGAGTTTAATATCCCAGCTTGTTGATCAATATTCACATCATCTATGATAGCAAATTCCTTTTCGACTTTTTCTATTTTATCTGTAAACTGTATTGAATATGAAAATTCTCAAATGAATTCAACTGAAAATTTACCCTGAACAAAACATTTTATAGTTTTTCATTGTGGAATGACTTTACCTGGGCAATCGTTAAAACTAAAGAGCATTGAACAGCTGTCTTCTAACATAATAAAATGAAGCATTGAACTAGTTGTTTGATTAACGAAGTGACAGGTGATATTTCGCAAAGGAAATCCAAGTGACTTGTACAGTCATATTCACAATGAAAGAAAAACAAATAAGCATTTCGTTGTGTTTCTGAGTTATGTCGTCGGTTGGTTGCCTTTATGATTTAATTATTATTTATGTTTTCAGTAAGAAACAATATCAATATCAAAGTGAGAATCTTCAATACGAACGTCAAGAGAGTTAGTTCTATTGTGTGGAGCCTAAACTTGAAGGACTACGACAATCATCAACAAGAAGGTACAATTATGAATAAATAGTTGTCTGTGCAAGATAATCAACATCCACTGGCCAGATGCCATCAAAAACAGCCTACTGTAGGAGAGGACAAACCAACTTCCAGCTGAAGAGGAAATTAGGAAAAGACTATGGAAATGAATAGGACATACATTACGGAAATCATCAAACTGCATTACGTGGCAAGCCCTAACTTGAAATCCCTGAGGGGAAGCGGAAAAGTCGGAGGTCAAAGAACACATTACATCGGGAAATAGAATCAGATATGAAAAGGATGAATAACAACTGAAGGAGTTGGAAAGGATTGCCCAGGAGAGAGTTGGATGAAGAGTGCTGGTGAGCGGTCTATACTCCTTCACGAGGGGTAACAGGTGGTATAAGTAAGAAACACTTAATACTCATTTGTAAATATTTCATCATGTGATGTGATGAATTATCAGGATTCAATTCATAAAGAATTTTAAAAAAGTGCTGAGAGAAATTAAAGAAATTTTCAACAAAACTATTGATTTGCATTTGAGAAATACTGTCAGCTACTAATATCATTTAAACTAGGCATCTTTTCTAATGTCCTTACATTGGATAGTTTAAATGGGATGAGGAACTTTAAACGAAATACTAAACACATTTTAATAAAGTTAAGTTCTATGATTTCAGTGGTATAATTGTGACATATTCATTTCCATTCTGAATAACACCAAACTCATAGGTAAGTGAGAAAATTGCTCTGCCATATGTGGAAGTCATCTCAGAAATGACAACAAAGATTACAAAACCTTTTTCATATCAATATGCTTCATAAACCACCACAATCACTTTATTCCATTTTATACAAGCCGGAAGACATAACAGTGAAAGAATACAAAAGCAATCTCAACTAAAAATAAGACTGAACCAACCTAGAGAAACACTAAAGTGAACAAAGTAGACGCCCCATTCGCTTACGCACATACGAGCGAAAACGATGAGTAAAAAGTGACAATATTTTATCATTGACCAACCATGGAGATGAATCGAAATGTGAAAACTTTAAAATTTTCAATCGATAGTATCCTTAAAATGATAGAGAACTTCTAGAAGCGTGATATAAAAGTTAGTCGTCAGTTTAGAACTGACGTCAATTCGCTACACGGTCGGGATTTAATTGACCATGAGTTTGAAAAGAATATAATAAAAATTAATGATGGTGCAAAACACGAAGACGTAATCACAAAGAAAATCATTTAAATGACATGATTGAGTGCTTGTACAATAACTGAACAGTTCGTTTTAATCATGAAGTAGGCTAGGATGGTGACGTCCAGAATGACAATAAAAAATCCTCTATTAAACTATTTACCTTCGAGAACTTAACAACATCAAACTCATTCAGTTGAACTACACATCTTTATCATCACTATAAAATAGATGATTGAAATTCCTACCATTTACAAGAACTTACTTTGACATTTTGTTTCGTATTCTTAACAGATTTAACCGTTTTTCGTTGTTGTTGTTGTTGTTGTTGAATCTGTTTACTGATGAATTTCACACAAATATGATTATAATTTCGTGTAATTTGACATGTTAGAAACATGGCTATATCTCCAATACATTCAATATCTAAAATAGACTAGAATTGAATGTAATTCATATTGTATCATACATTGAAATGTATTCTACAATCTAATTGTCTTTGTGGATGATTCATTGTATATAACCATTCTTGTCCAATAATAAAATGTTTAAATTGTGGTTTCTCATTATCTAAATGACAAATGGAATCAGACCAAAATAATAAATTATCAAAATCATTTTTGCATAATTTATGTCTTAATATTCTTTCAATTGCACAACCATTTTTATACATTGTATCACTAGAATAGGATAATTATGAATATATATATACGTTTGTATAGAAGTGAATTAGTAATGAAATAAGTATATAAGTAGATGGATGTACTTTAAAGCAAATCTACAAGTTTATTTAACCAATTAAAGTATATTGGATACAATGGTCAACATATCAGATGATTGAATAAATATTATTTCTAACTATCCTATTGGTTATTTTCAATTCTATATGCTTCAATCGAAATTCTTCAATTGAATTGAATAATCAAATAATGATCTAGCTTCAATTATTGGAATTACTTATACTTACTTACTTAAGTCTATTACTCCTAATGGAGCATGGGCCACCAACTAGCATTCTCCAACTCACTCTTTCCTGGGCCTTCCTTTCTAGACCTATTCAATTGTTGTTCATTCTTCTCATGTCTGTCTGTCTGTCTTTATTTCTCGGACTAATATGTTCTTTGGTTGTCCTCTTTTCTTTTGGATTTGAGAATTCCAAGTGAGGGCTTGCCTTGGTAAGCAGGAAAAATAATTGAAATTACTATCATATCCAGTAAAACGCCTTCTGATACTAAACAATATATCCTCACTAATGACTGGTTTCGAGAGGTATTTCCAGGAAATCTAGTTAGAAAGACTGACCAGTGGATTTCAAACGGGTCTGTTGTGAGATAGTAAATCACTGAAAACAATGGTGGATGTGTCGCTCAATTTCGTGGATTAGTTGAAGTTAGGAATTAACAGCGTTGCATGCCGGCGGACTCAGTGGTATAATGGTTAAGCGCCCGCGCGCGAGACGGATAGATCCTAGGTTCGAATCTTTCTACACAGGACCGTTAGTGTGCATTGGTGAAGCGTCCCACAACAGGACGAAATGGTTGTCCAGTGCTTCCAGGTTTTTTTGGTGGTCTAGCTTCAATTAAATCATGATCTCAACTATTTAAAATAAAATGAAACTGTAATCTCAAATTTATAGAAGAGATCAAAATCATAGATTCACAAGTAAGTAATATAAAATCAATTCATTTTATAGATTGTGTTAATTCAACAAATTTACGGTATGTAAGTTGATAATCCAATAAAGCAATTTCATGCCAGCATTTACTAATGTAGATATGAAACAGTTATATTAACTTTCTAATGTGACTAAATTACATCATACTAATGATCTAACACATGATAAAAAAAACGTATGACAGTAGTCGTTTTACTAAAAATAAATACGAAGGAAGATTGTATTCTGTTGCCTAAAAATATGATAATACCTGACTATAGAAGTTTATCTTGAGTCTCAGAGGCAGTAAATTTTGTATTATTCACAATGCGAGAATAATTTATTTATTTGAACACATAAATATTGGTACAAGAGTGCGCCAAATTTATATGCGCCTCACAAAAAATGAGAATTTGAAGAGAAGGAAAAAAAGGTAAGGAGCGTAAAAAAAAGAGAATAATAACGAAGAGATTGGTGCAAAGTAGTGTGGTAATAATAATAATAATAGTAATGGGGAACGGAAAGGTACAGTCAGTAGAAATCTTTCAGTTAAGGAATACATAATCACTTTTTATGAAGAAAGTAAAAGAAGGTTACAGCGGAATCGCCACTGGCTTCTATTCTGAGCCATATCTGATAACGTCTCTAGCCACTGTGTTGCACCATCTCTCAGACCCCAACCAGGGAGTCGTGAAGGACCAACAGAAGCCAGTCCTTTGCATCTTTCTTTCATCCCACGACACCATGTCATATACTGACCACCTCTCCGCTTCTTCCAACCAGTCCCAGAGTCGGCAAATAATGCACAACAAGAAATTCTCTGGGACGACATTCGTAGAACATGTCCAAGCCACCGAAGTCGGTGTTTCACGATGGTGACACTAATTAGATTATCGTCTCTGTGCCCGAACACACGATGCTGAACCTCTTCATTACTAACATGATGTTGCCACTGGATGTCAGCAATCCTTCGGAGACAACGATGATCGAATACAAAGAGTCGTCTAGCATCCTCAACTCGGAGAGGCCACGTTTCACAAGCATAGAGCAAGAATGCTCTCACCGACACGTTGTAGATCCGACCTTTTACAGCCAGACTGACCTCACGAAGGTGGCAAAGATGGCTCAGATTAGCATAAGCCGCTCTGGCTTTCACTATACGTGAATCGATCTCACCACTCACGCCACCAGCCCTTATGCAGCTACCTAGATACACTAACTTCTCGACTACTTCTGTCTGCTCACCACCCAGGATGAGTACAGGATTAGGTTCCTGCCAGTCTTGCAGAAGTACTTTGCACTTGGAAGGAGCAAAGCACATAGCGTACCTACGGACATTGATTGTCAACTGATTAAGTGCGGATTGCATGCCTTGAGCATTATCGCACAGTAAGACAATATCATCCATATACTCGAAGTCGATAAGTCTTTCTCCGGGCAATAGATCCACACCACCACTGCTTACATCCACCAGAGCTGTTTCCAGAATGTCGTCGATGGCAAAGTTGAAGAGGAATGGTGAGATTGGGCAACCCTGTCTAACTCCACTGCCTGAATGGAACAATGGAGAAAGGTGGTTGTATGGCTTCACTCTACCTGAGGTGTTTGTTTATAGAGCTTTTAGGATGTTAATAAACCTCAGGCACACTCTTCTTCAACGGACAATCCCAGAGAACAGTCCTTTCCAACGAATCGAAGGCAGCCTTGATGTCAAGAAATACTGCGATTGTTGGCCTTTGATAAGTATGGCGGTGTTCTAACATTTGGCGGAGGGTGAAGATATGATCAATATATCCTCGACCAGAACGGAAACTGTTGTAACGGGTGTGACTGCAGGGTTTGATACGCAGCGTTTATTATCGATCGCTTCTGTGGACAGTGACACGTAATACACGTACGGACGACCTAGTGCCCTGATTGGCCCTGCTTCGCTGTCTGTCCTAGCCAGTTGAATCAAGAAACAAGTCACAGCCTCTGGGTTATGAATCATTATATTTCAAACATACTTTATTTATATACCAATCAAGCATACCACATCGTACCATAAAATAGAGAACAACATTTACAAAATATTTAACAAGTGAAGTAAACATCGACCAATAAGAAATGTACATTTAAGGTCCAAGGCCACCGTAGACTTAACACAATAATTATTGGTATATTTTCCCGACTATCCTAACACCTCCCTTTTTTCGAATGATCCGGAGTTCATATCTGGATTTTAAAATTTTCTGGGTTCATCCTCCCCCACGAAATAATGTTGGGTCCTTATATCCCCAAGTTAAAATTAATTTGACTTTATTTAACACATAATTGTCACATGGAACAGTGAAGTCACTAAAAGTGCTTAAGTAGTGTGGACCAATGTCGCTCGATATGAGGTCATCAACCTTCGATTCTTCTGGAACATTACCATAGAATTCCTTGAAAATCTCATTTGTGGATAGTCGATCACTGGGATAATTAACATCTATCAAAATTGTGTTGAACTTCTGACCATCATTTGGTGCATCGAACACATTTTCTGGTACAAGAGGATTTAGATAATAAGATTCATCAGAATCTCCAGTTGTTGACTGATGAGGACCGTTTGGAGCAGCTAGACTCAATATACTGCACGATTTGTTTCCTGTTTCCTTGTGAGAGGGCACTGTATTTAATTTATGTGCATTTAATGAGATCTTCTTCCTGTGAGCTGGGTACATCACTGTCTGTACACGTTTCAGGAACAGTGGGATTTGAACCCACAACTGGGCATGATTCTGAACTGGACATTTCCGCATCGCTGGACGGACTATGAGCGACTGCCTCATTTGCATTACTGATCATAAGGGATTCATGGAGGCTTTTGTTTTTATCTTCATATGTCCTGCAGTCATTCTCGAGTTCAGTATGTAAGTGAGAAATGAATTCATCAGTTTCTTTCACATCTCCGAAACATGGGAGATCTAGCAGTCGCGTTCGTAAATAGTTCAAAACACGCTGTTGCTGGCGATCTAGTAGTAGCTGCAATTGATCGGGAAGGCTAGTCATTTCTGAGCCAGCAGGGTAATGAGAAATACTGTAATAGATTAACAACCAATGATTTCCAAGGACGCCGATGACAAATCTGGATACTGATTGGTCAAAATAATTATGCTGAATCTCGTCCAATTAGAGGGTTCAAAATTTTCTCTACCCCGTCGCCAATTGTTGTAACGTGTGAGACTGCAGGTTTTTGATACGCAGCTTTATTATCGATCGCTTCTGTGACAGTGACACGTAATACACGTACGGACGACCTAGTGCCCTGATTGGCCCTGCTTCGCTGTCTGTCCTAGCCAGTTGAATCAAGAAACAAGTCACAGCCTCAGAGTTATGAATCATTATATTTCAAACATACTTTGTTTATATACCAATCAAGCATACCACATCGTACCATAAAATAGAGAACAACATTTACAAAATATTTAACAAGTGAAGTAAACATCGACCAATAAGAAATGTACATTTAAGGTCCAAGGCCACCGTAGACTTAACACAATAATTATTGGTATATTTTCCCGACTATCCTAACAGAAACCAACCTGCTCCTCACGAGTAAATCTTTCTCGGGTTTAGAACAACCTACGAAGTATGACAGAAGCCAACAGTTTTGAAGGAACTGGAAGTAGACTATCCCCCAATAAAATTTAAAGAGACAATGTGAGCGCTTTTTAAAAATAAGGACAATTATCGACTCATTTCACGACGTTGGAACATTCTCTAGTTCCCAGATTTTTGTAAACAACATTGTCAGTTCCTTAACTAGAAAGTCACCACGGTCACCCGGAGTAGGCCGACGGGCTTCAGTGAGTTGTAAGGAGCCTGAAGAAACCCAGTGCCTATAAGCGAGACGTTTCACAAACCCACAACTGACTTTACTTGTCATTTTCATGGCGTTATACAGCTGCAACCAATGCTCATCTATACTTTTCGGTGGAGTGGTAGCTAGCCTAGAACCTAGCTCGGTTCGATACTTGGTTGCAACAGAAGTTGCA